GCACGTGACTGGGGCACACCCTCCTCACAGCAGCTGCTCCCTAACCAGGCCCGTGACCAGAACTGTGGCCAACACATGGATGCAGAAGGAACCCGCTTCTGGAAGGGTCGGCGAAGGAAGTGAGCTAATACTGACCAAGAACACACTGTGTGCTGGGCACTGGGATGGCGAGACAGCAAAGATTTAACAAGTTTTTGCAGTGGGGCCTCTGGTCGGAGTCCATCGACCCCTTACAGTTCTACTAACTCAGTCTCGGGATCACCGCCCTCACCTCTGCCTCCTCTCCGTGGCCCACCAAGGGCCGCAAGAACCCCTCCATCCTCTAAGACTCGATTCAAGCAATTCTCCAGCAAAACATGCCCTAGGCCCCCCAAGATGAACCTCCACTGCGCTCCCTGCTCCAGGGGGCCCTGTTACTACGTCTGTCCTCGCACCTGGTGGACTGCGCTGAAATGACTTAGTCGCAGGCTCGGCTTCGCGGCTGAACGTGAACCCTTCAGAGCAGGGCCCGTGTCGCCTCTCCTACCTGTGCATCTCCAGAGCCAAGGAACAGGGCCCAGTGGGAAGAAGGGAAGGGTGACCGGATGGGAGAATGGCTGGGTGTAGTGAAGCACAGAGGAACGTCTGGGAGAAAAAAGTATGAAGGATGGAAGGAAGCACAGAAAAGAAACGTAGATGGATAACAGACAGAAGCATAAGAGAAAGGAGACAGGGTGGTAAAGTTACGAGGAAGAGGCGAGGGAAGAGGTCCCCAAACATACAACGGCGGCAGACAGAGAAGGAAGGCGCATGATGTATCCACGGTGACATCCCCCGAAGTTCACGACTTGACTGTGGGTCATCGACAGCCATCCCGAACACGTTTCGACGTGAAGGGTTCTCTGCACGGAGGTTCTCTGACCTCTGACAAGGTCACACGGGAGGAGGGAGCGAACGACCATATGGCGAAGTGGTAAACGGGAGACGGCCGCAGGAGCTGGCTCATCATTACCAATTCCTGTCTCTACGAAGCCTCCCTGTCGGCGGGCAACTCACCTGTCGGGTCTCCTCGAGGCACTCCCTCAGCCCCCAAGTTCCCAGAAATCCTTTCCCGACACGCTCCAACCTGAGCCCCCCCCCAGCCCTCCGAAGGTGCCTTTAGGGAGCAGCCGTTCCCAGTCCCATACCGCACCCCAGCGCCCACACCTGGGCATCAATCCTGCCAGGAGCCCTGCTTCCTGCAGCACCGACATCCACCGCCAGAACCTGCTCCTCCTCTCTGCACTCAGCCACCAGGTCCCCCTTCACGGAACTGCCTGGCACTTCCAGCAAGTCGCCCTGCCCTGGTCCGCAGTGCCTGAGGCACTGCCAGTTCTCGTCACTGCTGGCAGCTGCAAGCCAGTCACGGGGCCCTGCGTGAAAGGTGTTCACAGGGTTTTACGTCACCCATCAGCTTGTACAGCGGCAATATTTTTGGGGTTCGCCACACCCAGATAATACAAGCTTCAGGAGGGAGAGATGACACATTTAGGGAGGGAAGAGAAAGCCATTTACCCTCAGGACTTGTGACTCAGCTCCTTTACTTACTAGGGACAAAGAAACAGATGATTGTTGACGGCCTCCCATGTACCTGGTAGTTTATACATGAGAGTGTCATTCGACAACCTTTGACCTAGATGGTATCGCATCCATTTTACGGATAAAGAAGCTGAGGCAAGGGCAGGTTAAGTAACTAGCAGGCCCCCAGATAAACCCCAGATGACTCCACAGCCCAGGTCGGACTTTGCACTGGCTGCTCCAAGTTCAGCATCACCTCACGCCTGCTCAGTCCAGGGAGAAAGCCAAACGGGATTCAGTGGGGAGTCAGCCCTGTGTGAACAGTCCCCAGGCGAGCAGTGGACATTTCTGTCCCAACCTCACAGCTCCTTATGTATTACAGCCTGCACTATGCTGGCCACCTAGTAATCCCAGTGTCAGGGAGAAAGCAAGCTCAAAAGACAGACCGGAGCTCAAATTCTGACTCCATGGCCGGAAGCAAGATGCTTAACCCACACGCTGGTCCTTAGAGAAAAGCCTGGACCACCGTGCCTGGCCTGAGTTGGCCACAGGAAATGTTGGTTCTTATTCCTTCTTCCACTTCCTAATAAGATAAGAATCCACACTTGATCATTCTTTATGTTCTAAGGATGCAAGAATACAGTTAGGGAGTTGGACAGCCAACCACCAACTGAAATTGTCCAAAATGAGCCAGCCTACTAACTGTAAACAAGCATAGCATTAGAAGGAAAGTAATACGGTTTTTCTCCCATTTAAACATGCCATTAAAAATGAATCTTCGTGTGCAGCAACTAGAGAAAAAGAAAGAGACGAGAGCCCAAGGTCACAGCATCGCTCTATATTAGATTTCATTCAAAACGACGATATTGGCCTCCACCTATGGGCCAGCCACAGCTCTAGAATCCTGGACCTCTCCATCGTTCTCCTATAGAAGACTGCCCCGAGACTTTCAGCCAAAACCAGAAACCCTACTTCAGCATCTGGCCTTTCTGACAACAGTCAGTGTGTTTCTCTTCAAAAGGTGTCGGTTTCAAAGCTCTCCACCTCACTCCTGTACCTGCTGCAGGACGGAACCTCAGGCCAGGTAGAGACCTCACAGCCAAATTGTAGGTGTCCAGCCTGAGTCTTCTGGGCTTTTACACTTTCAAGATAATCACCGAATTCAGAGCCATGGGGCCTTTCTAGGCTGACAACTCTCAGAAACTGCTGGACGTTAAACTCTGTGATCTCGGCCGCTTCAATTCAAACCCAGGTCTCTTCTCCTCTCGGCCCAGAGCTGAACTTCACCAGAGTCCACCATACAAACCGATCTGCTCTGAAGATTCACTTGAAGATATTTCCAGATTATCAAAGTTTTTGATCACAGAAACCACACGATATGATATTCATTCATGCATTCATTCATTCGTTCAACAAAATTTTGGAGCACATGTGCCAAGTGAACGCATGACGGGGGAAAAAAGCAACAAAGTTAGAGTCAGAAAAAGTGGACCTCCGCCCTAGTGTGTGCCTAACTCACTGAGCATCCCTAGGGGAAATGTCCACCTCCTCTAGCAGACGATATCATCAAGAGTCTACAGCAGGTCCTGTGCATCTCGGTTTCCCAGTACTTAGTACAATGAAGGCACAGGGCAGGAACTCTCTGATATAGTAGGCTAAACAACTGAATTCTACAGTCTCAGTCAACGCCTCTATTGAATGGCATAACACAAAGATGGGAGACTTAAATGACATTAAATATGTGGCAGTACCCAGCACTCCTTAGCAGGATCTTGGTGGACTACTTCAGGGCTAGGAAATTTTGTCACAGACAATTAGAAGCACAAGACTCCACACTCAGCCTAAATGCTGGCTTGCCCCTTACTAGCTGCATGGCCTTGGACAAAAGACTGTCTCTCCACGCCTTAATTTCTTCATCTGGTAAATGGGCATGATGCTATACCTCCCCACTGTGTTTCTGTTGAAGATTAAATACGTTAAGATAAGAAAGCACTTTCGCACAGGCTGGCACATCGAAAGTGCCTGTAAAAGTCTTCTGCAGACACCCACCCATGCTTCTGAGTCACTCTGCAGGCCAGCGAAGCCCTACGCACATTCTCCATCACAGGACGCCCCATGCCTCGGCCTGTATCTAGAGTCAAGGGCGGGCATAAAAAAATTCTTTACTTCCAAGGAGAAAGGTGTAACACACATTCCCACCTTCCTAGAAACACAGGGCCCTTGTTTCCCTCACCGCTTTTGCTGGAAGGTGAGCCTAAGAACTATTTCGCATCTCTCTATTCTGACAGGAAAACAACAGGATGAGCAGGAATATAAAAGGCAACAGCCATGTGGCCTCCGCAGGGAGCCTGGGGGAGGGTGTGACCCTGGGAAACCGAGAGAGACCATCTTGAGGGGTCAACTGCCCAATTTCCTCACACCATGCCCCACCCCCCTCAGCCTCCCAGACGCAAACCTTTAGGGGTCCTCACTGCCAAGGCCTCCAGCTGCCTTCTCCATCCCTGCCTAGGAGGCCCACTGCGCAGCGTGCCCTGAGGGCTCAGCATGCAGGCTCAATCCACAGTGACAGCAGGGCTCCTAATGACGCCTTTGTTTCCTCTTAATAGTCTGCTTCCTGCACTGCTGACAGCTGACTTCCTCAGGGAAGACTCCAGCAGCCAAGTGGCCAAGGAGAATAGAAACAAAGAAAAGGACGAGAGAATGAAAGAAACAAATAAACCTGAGTCCGAGAATCTAATACGGTGAAGTGAGGTCTGGACATCTTGGCCCTTTCTAGCTCTGTGACTCTGAGCAAGTGTCTTCTGCTAAACCCTCAGTTTCTTCAACCACGAAATGGGTGTAAGGACAGTGCCCACTCCCAGTACATAGATGTCATTTTTGTACCTGCTCGCTCACAGTGACAGGAATGGTCATTTCAAGAGGCTCTCAAAATATGCAAGACACAGGAGATTGGCGGGCTCCCGCTGTGGCTCTGTCAGATGAGGCCAGGCCCTCTTCCCCAGGGATCCTGCCCACCGTTCCAGCCCCAGCTTGCTGAACCTGCCCACGGGTCTTTCCTGTAACTCAGCTGCTGACTTGAGTTCAACTCTTGGATTGTGAATCTCAAAGGGACGCAGGGGATCCTACGAGGCAGAATTAGGACGGCCGGTAAAATGATCAAGGTACAAGAGATCTCGGGGGTGGCCAGCGGCAGAGAGGGTCAAATGCCAATTCGGGCCCAGGAGGGTCCCACAAAAGACTCACTGTTGAAGACAAGACTGCCCCAGTGACTCAGAGGATGCACTTTGGGACAATGACTCAGCACCCAGTGCAGAAACGGGCAGGCGAGTGCCCCTGAGTTGCCTCCAGAAATAGGGGGTCCAGTGCCAGGAGGGCCAGGCGAGAGTCAGCTCAGAGGAATGCCCGCCCCCCCTCCGCCTACGAACTACTCACTGGGCTGGCATCCCGCCACGTGATCAACTGACCTGTCGCTGGGCCAGGGTAAACAGGCGGGGAGCAGGAGCTTCCCGGCCGTGGAGTGAGGTCATGCCTGCAGAGGGCGACTGGGATCTGAGGAGGGTGGGCGGCCCGCGGGGCAGGAAATGGCCAGAACGCCCCACACTGGTTTCTGGAGCTGGAGAGACAGAAGCCAGGAATAGAAATGAGGGTTCCCAGGACAGACCCGGGCAGGGCAGAAGCTCGCACCCTGGGGGACAGTGGGAGCCCACGGTGTAAATTATTCTATAAGGCGGTTAGAGACTTCATTTGCATCTTTTCCCTCCCCCCATCCCTCTCTCCTCGTCCTCCCACTGTTTCCTCTCCCTCTCTCTCTGTCCTGCAACTTCTCCTCTTCCTCTCTCTCTCATTCATTTCTAGAGACCTCAGTCGCGACCATGTTCCCAGCCTCTGCCACAGCCAGAAGCCCCTCAGACTCACAGCAACCCTGCCGGTACACTTTACCTGCTGCCTCATCTAAAACCCCGACCCTTTGAAATTGATACTGTTATGGCTCCTTATTTCACAAATGAGTACGTGGAGGCCCGAAGAGTGAATATCATACTGAAGGTCACACAGCTGGCTTCAAAACCAGGCAGGCTGGCACCAGGGTCCATTCACTCATCACTTAACATCACTATTTGTCCCAAAGGTCTCCGGCAGGGGAATGATGTGTTGAACAGAATTTAGATGACTGGTCCAAGACCCCCAAGCTTATTCACATTGGAGCGTCTCGCCCACGGGTTGCTGGGCTCATGGCCTCTTGCAACGGGATGCAGAGTTAGTGCACGGTGGTTCCGCCATGCCTCCCAGCTCTGCGTAGAAGCTACAGAAAATGCTCTATTCCAGCTATGGCCACTGAGGCTCCGTTTGGGACTGCACACCAAGTAAGCACTCTTCATTACAGCAATTACCGCCCTGACTCAGCCCCGAGAATTCTAAAACCAGAAATCAGGGCTGTTTTCCCGATGCCTGTGAGCCTGGGTATGGGTGACCCCAAGTCCTAGACGGCTGACCAACATGCACCCTGGATCCAGGCTGTCCTTGTAAAGCACCAGCTGAGCTAATTGTAGCGCTTGGAGAGGTAGGTGTGCCTGGCCTAAGCGACTCTGGAACTTCCCTTGTAAAATGACAAGAACAGAGACTCGATCACAGCCCAGGAGATCCGGGGTGGAGACACTTGATGGGTTCCTCCGTCGAAGCCCATCCACAAAAACTCGGGGGACAGAGCACAAAGAGCTCACAAAGACTCCTTGTCCCGACCTCTCTCCTGCATGGAGAAACCGTGGTCTGGACCATTTGGCCTAATAACCTGACTCAGGATTAATCCAGTCTCCTCTCTGCCGCTCCTGATACCGGTCCAAACTCATCCTCCCTAAAGGCTGAGACAAAATTAACCCCCACCACTTACCACAGAGACCTTCGTTCCCGGGACGGCGTCCCTTCGCAAGAGGCGGGAGAGGTCACATCCAGGGAACCACTCTGCTCGCTCGGGATTAGGCCACCACGGACTGAATGCCGATCGTGTGCCAGGCCCTAGGCTGGGCATTTTCATATCTTATCTCACCTAATTCTGACCAGAAACCTGCCAGACGCGCACTCCACCTCGAGCAGACAGAGGACCCAGAGAGGGTCTCGCGAGGGGAGTTAAGTAACCAGGTCACACAGCCTAGGACTGAGCTTGGATGAGGGACTCAGGATGATCCAGCTCTGTGGTCCCACATCACCAGAGTGCGTCCTGAAGGAAGGGAAAAACTGCCACGGAAGGACGCCAACCCCAAACGGCTCAGCTGGACCAAAGGAGGCGATCGTGGCAAATGAGAAAATTCCTCACAACACCCTTGGTCACCTCCCACCCCGATATTAGTTTTAGATTTGAAATTTAGGAGCGATCTCTCCTCTCATTTTCGGAATTGTTTCGATTCCTTCTGCATTCTTGTTTTACTGTAATATTTTCTGTAACAGCGTTTTCTTAATTTAAGAAAAAGAGACTATGACCACCACACCGGTGGGTCTACACAAGAGACCAAAGGACAAAATTCACATATCAATCATATTGCTCAATCCATGTGTAGACACTAATCACGTGCTCTGAAAACTGCCATGAGCTCCACAAAGATCAGGCAAACTGACTGTTCTTAATATCTGCAGCGCCCGCTCTGCCCTGGTCCACACCACTGCTACGCCTCATAAGATAAATCACAGCACCTGGTAACCTATATGACTATTAGTTGTTTCTTTTACTAGTTATGTTTCTGAGGGTCCCTGAACCCGGAACAGTGGCATCATCACCGAAAGATGTGCCACCAACAGGTACACGTGACCCGAGTGACACTGTAAGTCAAGCTTCAAACGCTGTACCACCACAGAGATGAACACTCCTTTACAAAAACTGACCTTTTCAACGCCTAAGTGCTACTCCCAATTACCTATCCTGTAAACCGGATGTTTGGTCACTGAGTTCTCTTCAAGGACAGTGCTCCTTTGCCTGACTGACCTTTAAAGAGGCCCACGGCCCCTGGCGGCCTGCACCAGCCAGGCAAGCCTGGGCCCATACTCTCACATGTGGACGCATGCACACCCACGGGCAGGCGCACACACAGTCTTCCTCCTGTCTAAGTTTTAAGTGTCCTTGTTCCTTCTTCCATCCCCTTTTACCTTTCCTGGCCTGCACAGCCTGGAGCATGATAAAAGATACCTCTCAGGGAAGACAGGACCCTAGAAGTTTCTGCAGAATTCTACCTTTATCTGATTGAAAACCAGTCTTTCCACCTCCTGGGTACACCTTGTTCTGAAAGCTGGGCCAGGCTGCAAGTTCTGCCTTATCCTAAACCCACTCGAAGGATTCGTGCCTAGGGGGATCCTGGGAGCCTTTCCACCCTTGGTTCACTCCCACTCCAGCCCCGGACTGCCCTCTGTGAGAAAGGAAAAGTCTTCTGAGGTCCAAGAGAAAGAACAGAAAACAGCATGGCTGCAGCCTTGGGCCGGCTCTGCCAAGCTAAAACCTCCCAGCAGTTACCTGCCGTGTGCTCCCCAACTCCACTTCCCCGTCCTTTCCATGCTCACCTGGTACCCCCTCCTCGGCCAGGCCGACCCACGCCTGGGCTCCCACCACTATGTACCAGGGGTGGGCACCTAGGCCCATCTGTGTGACCTCGCTGAGCCTGTAATATAGAAATAACTCATAGGATATTGAGAGAATCAAATGAGGCCATGTTTTTCCCACTGATTTTTAAATGAACTTAAGTTTTTTAGAACAATTTTAGACTTTACAGAAAAAAAAAAAAAAGTGGATTAAGTACAGCGAGTTCTCATACCCTGCACCAAACTTGCCTACTATTATCATTTTATATTACTTTGGTACATTTCTTAGAACTAACGAACCCTTACTGATATATTACTCTGAGCTAAAGTCCATACTTGATCCAGAATGTCTTAGTCTTTTCTTAACGTCCTTTTTCTATTCCAGGATCCCACATTACATTTAGCTGTCGTGTCTTCTTAGGCTCCTCCTTCTTAGCTGTGGCTGTTTCTCAGACTCTCCTTGCCACTTTTGAGGAACACTGGCCTAGTATTTTGTAAATATCTCTCCATTGAGAGCTGTATGAGCCGTGTTGATAGTATGCACCCTTGACGTGATGTGATACAAATGGCACTTTACCGCTACAGTTTTTCTTCCCCCAAACCTATGACCTCAATCTAATCACGAGACGGTCACGATTTTTTAAAATTAAATGTATAATAGATAATACGTCCGATACAGTTCAAAATTGAAATGATACCCAAAGACGCACAGTCAGAAAGTCACCTGCCGTCCTCTCTCCCACTCTGCCCTGTCTCACTCTTCAAAACACAGGCTGCCACTTGTGTTAATTTCTGGTGTATCCTTACAGAATTTGGGCATGTATAAATTCTTATATCCCGTCCACACGCAGACACTTGTTACGTGAAAGACTCTGCACTCAGCCTCTTCTGCAACATGTCCTGAGACCTGGCTGTGTCGTGCACATAGCGATTCCTCCTTTTCCACACTTAGCCCACTGTACGGGGAGGGGCCACTGTGTACAAAACCAGTCTTCAACTCGCAGACATCTGAGCTGCTCCCGATCTTTTACTACTGTCAAAGTGCTACTGTGACTAACCCTGGGCATCGCTCGTTTCACACAAACAATTGTAGGGTGGGGACGGATCTCAAACGCGAGCATGCCAGGTCACAGGGCACACCTATCTGTAGTTTGGATAGAGAAGGCCAAGGTGCCCTCTCAAAGGACTGTATCGACCTCCGTTCCCTCCGAAACTCAGGGATGAGGGTCTGTTTCTACACAGCTCTGTCAACGACTGAGCACGTCACTAACTTGGGGAGATCATCTTATGCTTAAGTGCCCTGCGAGATTCCTTTGCTGTGAACTGTCTTTATACCATGACGAGCCCTTCGATGCACATGTATCAGCTGCCGGCCGCCCGAGGAGGCAGGCGGTGAGAACACATCACGACTAGACAGCGGGACTTGGCCAAGGCCTCGGCCAAGTAAGACCTGTGAGTAGGAAAGATGGGAGGAGAGGGAAGGGCCTGGCTGGAAGGAGCCCCCCAGAGGAAGGGGATCCAAGGAGACCCGAGGAAACAGAGACTGAGGGGTCTGTCTGGCGGGAGGGTAAGGCCAAGGCAGAACAGATGCCAACCAAGGCCTCGAACACCAAGCCACAGAGCTGGGTCTCACAGCGCAAGTGGACGGCGTGTTCCAATCTCATTTTCTTTCTTCACATTCTACCAGCATTTTGAAACCGGTTACTTTTTTAATTTTTTAATTTTTATTTATTATTTTGTATGCTTTTATGCCCATTTAGTTCAGGAGCTCTCAAAGCTTTAGTCACCTGAACAGCCCTTACAAAGCACACTTACTTCCCAGCCCCGAGGGGTTCAGGGTGTATGCCAGACAATGGCTCCCAACTGGGTGATTCTCATGGGTGTCGCTGGTGAAGGACCATGCACCCCCCAGTTTTTCTCTAAAACCTAAAACTGTTCTAAAAGGTTGACGGGGTCAGGGCAGGCCTGCCCGGGCCCCCAGGGAGACCAGGGCTCAGGGTGGACGGGGAGGTGAGGACGCTTGGACACACAGGACTGCGACCCTTCCCGAGTTCT